CGACGCTGTTTTAACTAAAAATGCGCGTCTCATTTAAAAAAAAAAATAGTTTTGATTCCCCTCAACAGCATTATGTTGTTCATTCATTGTGAATATTTAGTTCATTCATTGTGGATATTTAGTTCATTAATTGTGGATATTTAGTTCATTCATTGTAGATATTTAGTTCATTGATTGTGGATATTTAGTTCATTCATTTTGGATATTTAGTTCGTTCATTGTGGATATTTAGTTCATTCATTTTGGATATTTAGTTCGTTCATTGTGGATATTTAGTTCATTCATTCTGAATTTTGTGTTATTCATTCACTGTGGATATATAGTTATAAATTTGTGGATATATAGTTATGAATTTGTGGATATATAGTTATAAATTTGTGGATATATAATTCAATTTATGCACAAAAAAATTTTATTGCCGGGAATCGAACCTGATTTTTTATTTTTAAGTGGAACACGCGTTTTTAGTCAAACGACGTCGTTTTTGCAACCGTGTGCACCATACAGCATAATTTCAATATTTCTTCATTCCTTAAGATTCGTAACAAAAAAAAAAAAAAAAACAACAACATCAAATTACCATGGCCCATATTCAAGTGGACCTGGTTCAAAATGACATTTATTTTATGTACTTGTGATTAATATATTATGTATATTCAGTTAACAGATTATATATTTACAAATAAATTAGAGGTACATAATATGTTAACTGTACATATATAATTTATTAATTGTAGGTACATAATATGTTAGTTGCAGCCAACATGTATATAATATATTAAGGGTGTGTTTGGTTCGCACATAGGAATCAGAATTGGAATGAGTATCAAATGCTTGGTGATGGTAATGAGTTTTGGTGAAAGTATTTAACATGTTTGGTAGTAGGGTGGAATGAGAATGGTTACTAATAGTGGTGCTTGAGAATTAATAAGGGAATGAAACCCTTATTTTATTTGGGTATGTGTTTTTCAATTGTTGGGTTTCGAAACTCATAATAGTGTTCTAAAAACCTATCAACCAAACAACAACAATCACTTTCATACCCATTCCTATGGGCAAAACCCACCAACCAAACACACCCTAAGTGTAGTAGCTGCAAGGTTGCAAAAATCGCGCCTAGGCGCCTGGCCGCCGCCGCGAAGAAGGTCGGGATCGGCCTCCTCCGCGGCCGGCCAGCTGAACTGGCGCTTTATTTATTTTTTATTTATTTTTATTTTTTTTTTGCATTTTAAATTGCAAAAAGTTCGGGAAGGCATAACTTTTGACTCGGTTGTCCGTTTTGGACAATTTTTTTTCTCAAAAAAAATGCTTCTTTAGCTCTTAATTTTAGTTTTTTTATGTTTTTAGATGGTTTAAACAATCTTTTGAACACTTTTACAACCACTTTCGTAAATAGTTTCTATGAAATAACTATGGAAACCTTATGTTTTATTACTAAATTTTAAAAAATTTTAATTTTTAATTAAAAAAAATTAAAAATCGCCGCCTAGGCGCTAGGCGCCCCCTTGCCCCCTAGGGGGCGCCTAACGTTTTTTGCAACATTGAATAGCTGTAACAAGTACATAATTTAGTAATTGCATGTACATAGTATGTTAACTGCAAATATATAATATGTTAACTGCATATACATAATATGTTAATTGTAATAGATACATAATTTATTAACTGAATATATATAATATGATAATGAGATATACATAATTTTGATGTCGTTTTGGACTAAAGTTTACAATGCAAGGTGGACCATGTCCATGGTATAACAATTGTAATAAAAAGTCATTGGCCGGATTATTGATTATTGATCTGTCCCTTGTCTTTTAAATACAATAGAGAAACACTAAACTAATAAAAATCAGGCTCTAAAATATTAACCAAATAAGGTCATCTACTTGCACATAACATGGCGTTTGGTTGTTGAAGGGGAATTATGTGTGAAAGGAATTGTAATTTCATGGGAAATAAATTACCGGGAATAAAGTGGGAATTTAAATTCCAGTGTTTGATTTACAGGAATAGAATTACTAGGAATTTCAATTCCAATGTTTGGTATACATGGGAATTGAAAGGGAATAAGTAGTATAAAGTCAAAAATGTCCATTGTTGTTGTTAGACACTAATTTTAGGTTTTAAAAGGAAAAGGTAATTTTGACTCATCATTATTTTTTTTTCTTCCTAAAATCCCAAGGGGACATGGGATTTTAATTACATGAAAATGGGGGGATTTGCCAATCCATGGAATTGCAATTTCTTTCAACCAAATAAGGAAATTTTGTGACCTTTGAAATTAGGTGGGAATTAAGTGGGAAGGGAATTTAAATTCCCTTCAACCAAACTCACTGTAACAGGGTGTTTGGTTGGAGGGATTTTAAATTCCCTTCCCACTTAATTCCCACCTAATTCCAAAGGCCATTAAATTCCGTAGTTTGGTTGGAGGGAATTGCAATTCCATGGAATTGTAATTCCCTCATTTTCATGGAATTAAAATCCCATGTCCCCCCTGGTATTTTAATTCCTGGGAAAAAAAGATAGTGATGAGTCAAAATTACCCCTTCCTTTTTTAACTTAAAATTAATGTCTAACAACAATAATGGACATTTTTGACTTTATACTACTTATTCCCTTTCAATTCCCATGTATACCAAACATTGGAATTGAAATTCCCAGTAATTCTATTACTGTCAACCAAACACTGAAATTTAAATTCCCACTTTATTCCTAGTAATTCAACTCCCATAGAATTACAATTTCTTTCCCACATAATTCCTCCCCTCCAACCAAACGCCCTGTAAGTTCGTTTCACAATGGATACAGATTTATCCTTTTAAAAAAATATATTTTACTTCTAAAAATTATTTCATGAAATTGAAAAATAAAATTTTGAGTTATTACATAAAAAGTGCCAATTTTTTTCAAAAATTTTATATATGAAATTAAAAACTCAATAAATCATCGAAAATTTTGTAACAGCCCACAAAGGTAATCTAAATTCCAGAAAGCTCAGGAAGTCAAAGGGAAGGAGAATGAAGAAAGAAGAAGTAACTGGAATTGAGGAGAAGAAGAAGCGGGATGAGAAATGACGTCGTCTGAGGAGGCGGATTGAAAGCAGATGTGAGGCAAGTTCAGACGACATCGTTTTGCATTTGCTATTGTTTAATAAATTTCCAGTTTCTTTGTTTCTGTTGGTGTTATTAGTTTGTTGAGAAGGGAGGTGAATTGGTTCCGGGGGAGTATATAGTCATATAGGGCAACCGAAGTGTAATATAAATTTTTATGCTGAGTATTAATTCAAATTATCATCTTCTTCACCCAATCTTTCTCTACTCAAATTCTCTTCTCCTTTCCTCTACTTTTCTTCTGTATTCATTGTCTTGAGTGCATTACAAAAGGCAATTTATATCCTACACCACGGCGCGCGTTGCACTATGCGCCCAGATGCAAAACGACGTCGTTTTATTTATTTATTTATTTTTGAAATTTTACGCCCCAGTGAATGGCAGTAGTTTTTTCTTTAAAAAAAAACCCGCTGTTCAAGAATGTACATAATGTTATACTAGAATACACATAATTGTATACATGAATGTACATAATTATATAACAAAATATACATACTCTTTTTAAAAGATAATACACATAATCTAACATAATACATAATAAACATAAACTTTTAACATAATACACATCAACTATTAATATAATACACACAAATTTTCTGATTCGGATGTACATAATTGTATAAAAAGAATGTACATAATTGTATAAAAAATGTACATAACTGTATGAACCAATACACATAACTATATGAACAAATACACATAACTGTGTAAACAAATACACATAATCCCAGCAACTTCCTACTGCGCCTCCCAAAACGACATCGTTTTGGAGCACTGTGCGCCGTGGTGTAGGGTATAACGATTGATTACAAATTTACAAGGCCTTAGAACCCAAGCAAACTCTTTAAGAAGCCATGTATTCTATACTAATTCTTCAATCCTAAGTCCAAAATCCGAAACGTGTTGACAAATTAAAAGGGCAGAGTATAGTAGCTCTTCCAATTGACAAAAAGACCCATAACCAATTTGGACTAAATTGCACTCTCACCACGGATTCCGCGCAACAATTTGATAGATCATTGCAGGTCAAATTCGTCATTTAATTAAGAGTTAATTATCAAAATGGCACATTGACTATAGCGAAATTATTAATTTGGTCATTGACTATATTTTTTTTGCCTAATTAAGCCTCAACTTTAAAAATCTTAACCAATTTGGTCCTACATTTGTTTAGCCATCAAACGTCAGTTTAATTCGAGAGTATTGCTGGAATTTCACGTCGCTACTCGGACTACTCGGGACCATATTGATAATTTTACTATAATTAAGGGACCATTTCAGTAATTAACTTTTTGGTTTAATAAGAGAGGAAATAGTGTATGTGATGTGAAATTCTAGCAATACACTTGAATTAAACAAATTTTTGACGTTGAAAGATCAAATTAGTTAATATTTTAAAAATTAAAGATTTAATTAGACAAAAAGTAATTAAGGATCAAATTGATAATTTCGTTATTGTCGGGAATTGTTTCGATAATTAACTCTTAAAATAATTATTGTAAATATGTTGGAATTTGACAAAGGAGGGTAGTTTCGTAAAGCTCACCTCCTCAACTAGGACCAATTGCTTTACCCCACCACTAAGCATCTTTTGATAAATTTATACACAAGAAAAAATAAAAAGAAAAATAAAAAATAAAACGATAAACAAGATATTAGAAGAATATCCTTCCTTTTTAATTACTAAAAAAGTAATATTATATTCTCCGATTTTTAATTTTTAAATTTTTCTTTATCATTTAGTTTTTGTTTTTGTTTCTTCTCAAAACGCCTCTGCGGGTTTTGCTGTTACACGCCGACGCCAGTAATCCAAATTTTCTCTCTCCACAGAATTCATTCTTCTTTCTCTCACTACCTCTCTCTCTCTCTCTCTCTCTCTCTCTCTCTCTCTCTCTCTCTTGTTTTCAACGACAAGCCTCTTGCATTATCAATCACAGTATTAAGTTTCATCTCTCTCTCTCCAATTCTCTTTCTCTCTCTAGATCCTTCCCGTTTCTCTGCAATTCATCAGCCGGTGAGTTCAATCTCTCTGTATCTACGGATTTTCATGCTTACCTTTGAATTTCACTGTCTCGGGAATTTCCTTTTGCAGCTTTGAATTGTATTTTTTTTTTAAAAAAAAATTTGAATTGCATTGTGTCAATTACTTGTATTCGAATTTATTCTTTATTTATTTAATTTTTTAAAAAAATAAATTTTACTCTGTTTTTTGTTTTTGGTTATTGACTCATTGGCTCTGGAAATTTTCAAGGCCATCTGTTGAGAGTATGTTTAATAATGTATGGTCTTGCTGATAAATTATCCTTTGTTCAAGTTTAATTGGCTGTTTGAGATATCTCAGAAGTGAAGTTTAAATCCCAACTCCTCTTTTATTAATTTCGCTGCGGCGTTTTCTTTCTGATTGATGTTTGATCATCATATTCATTAGTTTCGTTCAATTGTATCGTTTGGAATTTTGGATTTTCTATAATTGTGTGCCTTGGCAGGTGGGCAGTATAGTTTAATCTCGTTAGTAGTACCACACTTGAGATTGTTCTTGTTTGGTTTACACAATCGGAGTAACTTTATGCTTCACAAGAAGACAACAGCTAAAATTTTTTGAAGTTTTCAACTGAAAGACATGTTCTTGATTCAAAAGAAGCTCAGTAAACTTTAGCTGTGCCTTTCTATTTGTTTCTCTTCCTATGTTTATTAAAGTAAACTCAAAGAGTCACATATTTCAGATTTTTGTTTCTCTCTCTCTCTCTCTCTCTCTCTTTTTTTTGTGTGTGTGTGTGTGTGTGTGTGTGTGTGTGTGGTTCAATACTAGATTTTACAAATCCTATTGCCAAAGAAGTAGAGATGATGCATCTAGACTCTCTTTTTGTGGCTGACTTTCATGAACTTTTGACAGGTGAAAGACCTGAAGTTTGGAAAAGAAATGTGTTGCATTTTACAAGCTTTCTTGGATGTAGCTGACCTCTTCTTGTAGTCTACTTGCAACACGGGTCTGACTAAGACAGTGGTTGGTTTTAGATGATAACCACTGGCTGCAGCTTGTGAAGGCTGCAGTTAAGAATGTTGATAATTTTTTTGTTGATGCCTTGCAATGAAAACTGGGCCTTCTACAATTCCTTGTATTATATGATGCACATATGCTCTGATAGATGTTATCAGCCAAGTAAAAAACACTGTGTTGACAACAGTGTAGAAACCTCTATCAGGACATTAGAAGTCCATTGAGAGAAATTGCTTTGTCACTTGCTGTAAATCTGACAATGGAAAAGTGAGTTTTCTTGAGAACTTCATTTGAGTTTACTTTCCTTGGTATGCTTTTTGTCTGATGTTCTTTCTCAATTATTACATTCAGATACAAGATACTGAAAGAACTTGGGGATGGAACATGTGGTACTGTATATAAAGCTATTAACATGAGAACATCTGAGATCGTAAGTAAATGTTTATTTGATCTAATAATACTTCTCTATTCTTTCAACTATGCATGCATTTTGTTATTTTCTGTGTACGTCTTTTGGTGATGACATCAGGTGATGTAAGAGAAATGTCCTGCAAAGTCTTATGAGTGAATCATTTTGACACTGGAGGCCATCTGTTTGTTTTTGTTTTCATTTACTTTATCTGTCTTTTTGTGCTCTCTTTCCTTTTTCCTTTTTTTCTTTAGATTCACTTGTTTCATTTTTAAATGGGGAAATGTTGTTTTATTTTACTTTTTAATAATGTCTTATGCCTAGTTTATCTGTCTTTACATTTCTTCTCTCAGATGGCTTTCATCAATGAGTATTATTTGATATAGATTTAAATCCAAACTTTTTGCAGAACTTCTTTTTGCCATCAAATGCAAGTTTAGATTCTTGTTTTTGTTGCAGGTTGCGGTTAAGAAAATGAAGAGAAAATTTTATGATTGGGAAGAGTGCATAAATCTGCGAGAAGTAAAGGTGAGTGCTGTTGCTCTCATTTGAAGATGCACTGATCTTTCAATGTTGTGATAGTCAATTTAGTGCATTGCTATAACAGAGATGTTCACGTGTGCTAGTCACTATCATCTTCTTTTGTGCAGTCCCTCTGTAAACTGAATCATCCTAATATCATCAAGTTGAAGGAGATTGTCAGGGAGAATAATGAGCTATTCTTCATATTCGAATACATGGTTGGTGTAGTTTGTTTCCTTTCATACCTAATTTCCTCATTGTATGTATGTTTTCTCATTAATGAGAGAATCCTAAATGCCTGTCTTGTTATCTCACTCTTGACATAATTCATAATGAGCTATTCTTAGCTGCTTAATTCATTACACACAGCATAGACATGTATTTAATATCATTTAAATGCAAATATCAATTGGATGTTGTGGATTATCTAGGAACACAATTTGTACCAAACCATGAAAGAACGGCAAAGACCTCTCTCAGAGGAAGAAATCAGAGGGTTGTTGTCTCAGTTGTTGCAGGGACTTGCTCATATACATAGAAATGGATATTTTCATCGGGATTTAAAACCTGGTATTATGTATTTTATTTAAATGTTTATGCATTAGGTGCAGTTCAATCTTGTTTGCTAAGCTGTTAAGCCAAGTTATTATCTTTCTTTCTGCCTCCAGAGAATATACTTGTGACCAATGACATCATGAAAATTGCTGACTTTGGACTCGCAAGAGAAGTGTCTTCAATGCCTCCTTTCACAGATTATGTTTCCACTCGCTGGTGAGTTATCTTTACTATACTGGGTTGACATCTTTCTCTATCTGCTATAGATATATCATCTGTAGTGGTTGGCTTTCTGTGACTGTTCTAGGTACCGAGCACCAGAAGTCTTGCTACAATCTTCATTATACACACCTGCCATAGGTATGGAAAATCTACTATCTTCCAATCATAAAAGCTTCTTAATGATTGGAGTTGCCTTATTTTCTGTCTGATAGTTCATAGTAGACAAATTCTTGTATCTTTTAAAAAGTGTCAATTCAGTTGGTCCTTTTCTGATTTTGGATTTTATGATAATAGGCTGCTTAATTGACCAAATTTTCCATTATGTATTTCTCAAGTTTCACAATTGAATATTTAGCTCCAGCTGCTGCTTCTGCATACATTTTATGCATTTTGTGATTTTGTGCATATTATTTGATCATTGGGCTGATGACTAACATATGCATACAACTAACACAGATATGTGGGCAGTTGGTGCAATACTTGCTGAACTTTTCACTTTGTGCCCAATTTTCCCTGGTGAAAGGTGAATGTTATAACCCAAGATCATATTCATGCGTAGAAGTGTTAAGTGCGGTTTTCTCCTCTCTTGAAAAGTTGAACTACTTTCTACCCTTGTTTTTGTTGTCATTTAGAGTGTTCATATGGTGCTTGCTAATATTCTTATTTGAAGAATTTTTTTTATTTATATCAGCTTAGACTTTTGATGTTAATACTTTGCTCTTATTTATTTATTTATTAATGAACTCAGCATTCATTAATAATTTATTCTCCACTGGTTAAGCTGAAATTATTGATCAATGTTCTTTAGGTCCTAATCATAAATGTTTTTCTTATGCCAGTGAGATGGATCAACTGTATAAAATATGCTGTGTTCTTGGCACTCCAGATTGGAATGCCTTTCCTGAAGCAAGAAACATCTCCCGTTTGATTGATATCAGTTACCTTCATGTGAGTGAACTCCATGCTTTTCTTTAGTTATGAAAAAGCTCTTTGTTACCTTTATAATCTCCCTTTCTCAACATTTCAACATACATAACTTCATCTTGTCAAAAGTGGAACTCATGTATTTCGTTTCTATTCGCTTTTGGTAGATTATGCCAGTAAATCTTTCTGATATGATACCCAATGCAAGCTTGGAAGCTATTGATTTGATTGAGGTAGTCTTTGTTAATAGGAATGCCTAATACCAATGTTTATTGCATAAAATTAGATTTAAATGGGTTTTGATGCTGATTTCCTTTCTTTACCAAATAGCAACTCTGCTCATGGGACCCATTGAGGAGGCCAACTGCTGACCAGTGCTTGCAGCATCCCTTTTTCCATGTAATACATTTCTCAAGTTTGTCAATGGGTTGAATTCTCAAATTTTTGTTATTGGTTTCTGTCCATGAAACTGGATAAAGCCCCTGACTCTTGCTAATAAACAGGCTGGAATAAGGATTCCACATTCATTGGGTGATCCACTGCAGCTAAAGTTAAGTAATGATGGTGAGTATTGATGATACATTTTCAGAGAAGTTTTTATATATTTTAGTCTCTATATAGTAAAACTAGTTCTTTTTTTTTTTTTTTTTTTTTTTTTTTTTTTTTAATTGCAGGGTCAAAACCAAATCTTGAGTTGAACCTTTGGGATTTTGGCATGGAAAGAGATGACTGTTTTCTTGGTTTGACTTTGGCAGTGAACCCCAGTTCTTCTAGACAGGGTAAAAATTGTTCTTTAGGTTCATGTTTCTTGATGGGATTGCTTACTTTGGTTGATTTAATCATGCTATCGTGATTAGAGATTATTTTGTTTTGGAGCATGCTACTTCAAATTTTAAGATTCTTATCCTTTTCTATTTGGAAAGTCAATTCTGGTCATAGTAGACTGTTTTCACCAATTTTGCTCCACTTGTGTTAAAAGAGATGGATGCTAGATTGTTGAATCTGTTGTGCACTTTTTTTCCCCCCCTCTCTCTCTTAAATGTATCTATGTTCAGCTGATTGTCTGGATTTATTTTTACAGAAAAAATAGAGACTAAAAATCAAGCTGCAGTAAAGGTGAGAGATTCTGTATGTGTTGTATAATCAACTTTTAGTTACTGTATGAAGTGATGCCTTATAGTGAATTCCTGGTTATAGAACATATACTCTGTAGCAGTTCTAAGAACTTGTGATTAAAAATGAACAGGATATGCTTTTATGCTCAGGATTCCAGGACCACTCACAGCAATCAGGTAAACTTTATACGAATGAGTTATTATTTAACACTTACTTTTAAGAAGAGTTTGACATTATATATATATCTATAGAGATATGCCATCTGGCATCTGATATGCTTGCTACTGCTGCCTTTCAGTTGTTTGGTCATTGTTTCCTTCTGATCAGCATAGAACTTCGGCACCAATGGAGTCCTCTCTGTCATTGTCATTCAGGTTTAGTTACAACTATTTAATTGCACTTTTCCTTCTCTTCCTGTTTGTCCCCCCACCTATGATTGATTGGTTTTTTTCCTGTTGTCCCCCTCGACCCATATTTCTATGCATGTTTCATATTTTTCTAGTCTGCAACTCTGCATGTTTAATTGTAGATATCCCGTGCTGTAGCCTTTAAGCATAGTTGCAATTAATCATTATGGTTATGATAGTTTTGTAAAATCATACCCTATCATCATAGGGATCAAGCTTGTGACCAAAAATTTTCACCATGTGGCAATTTGTTGTAAAATCTAATCCCAACCAAGATGGTTAAGGATACAAACTTGTACCCACAAGGTCACGAGTTCGAATCCCAGCCCTCTTGGCTTGAGTCGGTCAGCTATGGGCAACCTAAGTTGGTTTACCTCCTTGTGGTCCTTTGCTGGCTAGGGTCACAAGGTGGTGGGGTTTACCCAGTGCACACCTTCGAGTAGTGATTGCGAGTTTCCTTCGTCACTCAAAAAAGAGAGTTTTTATTCACCCTATAATTGTATCGGGTAAATGACTTAAATGGGAAGGAAAGAAAAGACAATGACAAAACTAGGAAGCTTTTAAAAAATGTACATATATATATTGGAAAAAAATTCATTTTGGTCATGCGTTTCTTGTCAGAAATGCAAGTCGCAAATAAGTTTCTCAAAAATTCAAAAATGAATTTTTTTTTTTCGCTAAAATACGAGAAACGCATGTGGGACAAAAAAATCATTTAGATTTTAAGAAACTCATTGTCGAATGTCGTAAATGAGTTTTTTCCAATATTGTCCATTTTTAAAAAGCTTATTATTTTTGTCATTACTTATTGAAAGTTGCCCATTTCAGTCATTGACCCTAACTTTATCCTCATCTCATAGTAGCCTAATAAATAGAGATATGTTAAGGATTATTGCAACTATTCTAACATTACAATTTATACTTGCCTTTTTTGTTTTGGCAGTTCAATTCCACACACATCCGCTGGCGTTCCCCAATCAGCAGGCTTTGCTATGGCTTCTTTACAGACTAACATTTTCGACCGACCCTTACTGGCCATGTCGTCCCCCTTCCAGCAGGGACATTACCTTTAAAACAAGTTAATAACCTCCAATAAGAATGGCCTGGCCTTTATAGGTATTTTAGCTGTAATTATTTCTTGTGTATTTGTACATTGCCCTTGAGGTCTACACTCAACATGCACCCCTCACTCGTGGATCATCTTGTAAATGCGAGTGTGATTCTTTCCTGATCAACACAATTGCTCACTGTTGCCTAATTGGTTTTGCTTGATCAACATTTATATGGATCAAATGTTTAAAGATGGAACTTGTACTGTGTACTACACACTTATTTGGATTATACTTTTTTTTTTTTTTTTTTTCCATCCATCCTCTCCCTCCCATAAGACAATAGGATGTTTGGTAAATAACTGTTGGTTGATAGCTATTAGTTGATTGGGTTAATGTGTTTGATTAGTTGATAGTATTGACTGATTGTAGAAAAATATTTAGTAAATTAGCTATTAGTATGCAAAATAACTCTCAAAAAGTTAATTGAAAAAACTGTTTTGAGCAGCTGTTTGAATTTTAGCTTTTTAGAGCAATAAGTTGTTACAAAAAGTTAATTAACTAAGTCAAACAACTAATAGTGGTTAAACAAGTTAAAATTTGTTGATAGGCTAACTATTTTACCAAATAGGGTCAACATTTATAACTTCAGGAAAATGGAAGAACTCGTTAGAAAAGATAAATCGCAAGTTAATCAATTCGTTTTTAGTTTTTACCCTTGCTTGTACTTGTACACTTTGTGTACGAGTGTACAAGGAGTTTTTATCATCTCTGATCAATTTTTTTAAATTTTGGGTCTTTCAATGACCTATGTCTTCGATGAGAATTAAACCCCAATTTATTTTTTTAAGTAGACTTTTAAAATGTATTTACTTTTAAGAGACACATCTGATTTTTTAAACAATGTTAAAAAGTTTAATTTCCGTGCATGGATTACCTATATTGCATCACTAGATTCAGAGGGAGGCTACGTTATGATGGAATATACCCATCCATGACAACTTCAATTGTATGTCGTAGTACTTAACAATATTTCCCAGAAAGGAATACTAAAATGCAGAAAGGTTCTTTGAGCCATTTTAGCATTATGACATCTTTTTCTAGTATGAAAATAACAAAGCCAATATTTATTCAACTGCTCATCCTTGCTACTATATCTTGTGTCTAATCTTATCTTTCCTGCCAAAACTGAACCTGTGTATTCCTTCCTATAACCCAATCAATTATTATCATCTCCCTGCACAACAATAATTTGGAATGCTCTGCAACAATTTCGCCCTCGAAGCATGGTCTCTGGAAAATCGTCCCAAAACAGCAATTGTAGCGGTATTACTACCAAACTTCTCAATCCCTCTCGATATCATGCACGTGTGGTTGGCTTCGACGACTACCATAACATCCTCGCCCACGACAGACGCAACAGTCTCGGCTATCTGCTTCGTGAGCCTTTCCTGAACCTGAAGCTTGAAACCGTAAAAGTGTACTATAGATTGCAATAGGGATGTCCCGATTGGATTGCCGCCTTTTGGGGAGTAGTACCCTATGTGCACAACCCCATGAAAAGGAAGTAAATGGTGCTCGCATTAGGACCAGAATGGCAAGTTCACTTCAGAGGAGAGTTCTTCGGGGCCAACCTCGCCATTAGAACCCAACGGGTCTATCCTAGCTCTAACGAATCCATTCGGTTTCATCTCCGAATTGGAGTTTTTGAAATTCATGAACCACTTCACGAAACGAGATGGGGTCCCAATGAGCTCTTTTCTCGACGGGTCTTCGCCTAGAGACCGAAGAATCGAAACCACCGCGTTTGTCATAGTCGAATTTGGTACGTGGCAGGAAAGCTGAGACGGGCACCAAGATTGGTCAGTGCGACTTCCCATATCAATACCTCTGAATTTCAGTAGACTTATAAAGTCCGACCAAATATCAGCTTTCTCATCCTCGAAAACCCCCGAGCCCGAGGCAACCAAACTCTTAACCCATCCTTGGCGATTCGTGTCAAGAAAGGCCGACTCAACGTTTAGATGCCAACACTGCAGAACAAGAGCGACGCCTCTTGGCTCGATTCCCTGCTGTAAAGCGGCGCACACTTCATCAGCAAGGCGCTGGGGGTCCTGAAGTCTTTTCGCGAAAATATCAGCCACACGGGACAGCTTGCTTAGCCCTACAACCCGCTGCCCAGCCGGAACGTAGCCTACATGACACTTCACTTGGAAAGGAAGCAGGCAAGATTCACAGTACGAGAAGAGATCAAGATCACGAACAATAACAATCCCGCCTGCACCACCAGCCTGACCAATCCCACTTTCCAACCCGGCTTCTGGGAATAAGGCTCCATCAATGATATCATTTACCTTTTGTTTGTATCCTGGAACAAAAATATGCAAATTAGTAAGTCATTGATGAATGGCAATTGGCAAGAAAATCAGGCTCAACATCTCTGTGACTCTGTCAATAGATGATCATTTCCACACAACTGTAAAGTTGCTACTTACTATATTTATTGCACAGAACCAAATACTGCTACTTTTTGTTAAAGAAGTGAGAGAGAAGTGTCAAAGACTCCAAGTTTCTTCAAAAAGTCTACAAAATGATGCAGCATAGTTGACTAATCCACCTCCTATAGACCTTTTATCTTATTAATTTTAGGACTGCTGATTCTCTTCTCTTCCTAATATAATAAGCATTAACAAAGAAATAGATGGCTCTGTTTGGTAAAATAATTAGCTTATCAGTTAATTTTGGCTTATTTGACCACTATTAGCTGTTTGACTTGGTTAAAAAATCAATATAAGTGTTTGGTTAATCAGTTTTTTGTAACTCCAAATACTAAAATTCAAAAAGCTTCTCAAAGCAACTTTTTCAATTAGCTTTTGAGAAAAGAAATCATATCAAACAGCTCTCAGCGACTAATTAACTTTTCAGCTAACAACTACCATTTACCAAACAAAACAAAGCCAGAAAGTGTTTGAGTGTTATAGGGCCTTACATAGCAATCATGAAAAATTGTAGTACTCCCTCGGTCACTTTTTATGTATCTGATTCGGTTAACGAGACTTACTGAAGGTATGCTTAGTATTAGTATATAAAATTTATATATTTAGAAACTACATAAAAAAATACCATTAAACACAACAAATCTAGTAAGGCTCTAACAAAAGTTGATATGCATGCCCAAACTAAACTAGGGCACAAAATAGCAGAAATTCAAAAATAAGGGAGGAGCGATAGGAGAAGAAGTGAGTGACCTCTGGTCCCTTCTCGGAGAGCCTTGGCCACCCGGAAAGGAGTTTTGCGGAGCCCTTCTCTGTTGATATCTTCACCCAAACACTGCAAAAGGGCTCTCACAGAATCCTCAATGCCACAATTCTCGCCTCCCTCCTCAACGCCAAGCTCAACACACCCCCCAAACTTCACTCCATTCTCTACTTCCACATTGAAATGCTCATCAACCAAGGCGGCCATTGACAGTGATTCAATGTGCGGAACAAATCAGATCCCAAAAAACAAAATTCCAGCAAAAGTATAACCCAAAGATTCAAGTCATTCAACCTTTCAAACACCCGAATCAAGAAACTCCCAACCAATCAATTGTTCAAATTATAAGTAACTCCCAACCAATTGATTGGTTGGTAAGTTGGAAAGAAGAAACTCCCAACCAATCAATTCCCATTTCCCATATGTATTAATTGTTCAAATTATAAGTAAAATGATTTTTCAGACTAAAGAAAAAACAAAATGATAGTAGGGCTGCAATCGAGAGGAAGAAGAGCTGCGAGTGATAGATACCGAATGATAGTAGTATTTATATGAACGTAGGGTTGTAGTTGATGTTTGGAATGTGTGGAAGGAGTATTGCCTTTCAATTTTATTATTATTATTTTTTTAAATTTTTTTTCTTCATTCACCGCTCTGTTTAGACTTTAATTATGGTCATGTTTGATAAAATAGTTAGCTTATAAATTAATTTTAGTTTATTTGATCACTATTAATCTTTTAATTTAGTTCAAAAATTAATATAAATGTTTGATTAATTAGCTTTTTGTACTCCAAAATATTAAACTTTAAAAAACTACTCAAATCAACTTTTTCACTTAACTTTTTGAAAGAAAATAAATTATACCAAACAGGTATAAGCTAACAGCTAATTTATCAAACACCTTTCTACAATCAACTAATGTTATCAACTAGTTAAACCATCTAATCAACCCAATCAACTAACCTCTATCAACTAACAACCATTTATCAAACATGGCCTATATAAAAAAGTAATACCCATGAAATATAGTTTTACTAAACTAAATATGAAAATGCAATTTAGTTATTAAGCTAGAAAAATAAAAGCAAAATTTGTTGTAATTTTGATGTATCTTGTATCAGTCTTACATTCATAATCATACAAAAGAAAAGGAAATAGAAGAGAAAACTCAGAAGATGCAGAAAACTCAGGACCTCATTTTCATTAATAACTATTTATATATATATATATATATATACATACGGGATAAGTGCCTATATCATCATAGAAGTAAGAAAGAGTGGGATAATGGCCACATATTAAAATAAATATTTATAACATTCGGCCTTGTCATTATCTCATCATATTTATGTCTCAATAAAAATTCTCGCTATATAATAATCCAGTAAAAAAATCTAGTTGAAGAAAAAAGTACACAAAGTATGTGATATCATATGTTGCACCGGTTGCCTCATTAAAAACCTTAGCCTAAGAAAACTGGATAGGAAAAAACGTAGCAAAGGGGAAAATAGTACAACTAGAAATCAATCATAAACCTTAATCTTCAGGATTTTAGGGTTTGTCTATTTAAAAAACTTGTTTGCAACTCTCCCCATTTGATGTTACTATATCATACTCATGCCTCGTTAAAAACCTCACTAGAATAACCCAATGCAAAAAAATCTAGTGAAGAAAAGAGCACATGATATCTTTGCATTCATGTGTTGCACTAGTTGCCCCATTAAAAAAATTTAATTAAGAAAATTATATCAAAACTCAATCAAATGAAAAAAAGTACATCTGTTGGTCTTCAGGATTATTAAAGTCCAATCTTCAGGATCGATTCGAGTAAATGTCACCCCCTCTAAAGATAACAATCTTCAAAGTCTACATGTTCTAATATAATAAAAATATTGTTCCAAGATAATTGTAGAAAAGGAATATGGTACAATCTTCAAGATTGTCACTAGAGCGAACATTCTGTATAACAATTTCGTGACTCTTCTGGAGCTCATGTGGGTTGCATCTTGACACTATATATGCTATGTCAAATATTATGCCACTTGTGTGCTATGTTGTGATATACTATTATGTGGGGAAATAATGAGACCCGGTGGAACACTCCCGGAAATGTTATGTTGTGATGAGACTCGGTGGAACACTCCCGGAATTATGTTGTGATGAGACCTGGTGGAACACTTCCGGAATTATCTTCTTTATTAATTTGGTAGTTCGCTGATTACATGTCACTTTATCTATTCTTGAATTATTGAATCAACTAGATTCATGTCTTGATAATAGGTAATGAGCATATATATATTTTTGAGTATGAATTGTGACGAGATGCAATTTAGTGGTAAGGTGGAATGGATGGGATGGAAAGTGTAAATGGAGATGTGGAATTCCTGGGTGTCGGTCTCAAGGATGGACAATTTGAAATTGAATGTCGTGGTCAAACACAAGCACACAAGTGTACAAGGAGGTTAGGAGAAAGCATGGTCTAAGGGATGCAAGGAGTGCAATAAAGGAAAATAAGAAGTGCAACAAAGGAAAATAAAAATGAAACTAAAGAAACTATAAAATAAAAGGCGGAGTGGATTGAAATTTCTAGGATTGCAATGTAGAGATATTCGTGAGAGTGAGCTAATAAATTTTGTAATCTAGGAATAAAAATAACTGAGCAGAAAGTAAAAGTAGACATGTAAGTCCTGCAGCTATCAATAGCACAACCTTTATACGAACGAGACAGAGTGGCTGGTGCAAACAGGTAACTCTGTAGAAACTGGCAATCTGTGTGAATCTGTATAGTCTGTTCACCCCGCCTTCTAAGCCAAGATAAGGCTTCTTTGCATGCAAATGCTTCGGCCATGAGTGGGGAGAAGCAATCCATGAGGGGGGCGCTGAAAGCCGACACATAACGATCGTCGGCGTCGAGAAGAATTGCACCAACTGTAGCCAAATTTGTTCCATGGTGGTAACTGGCGTCTATGTAGCATTTCATCGGTCTTATCATTGCGCCGTGTGGGTGACCAGGGTGAGCTTGCGGTGGAGGTGGCGGATGATCGGTGGGGTGTATTGTATCGGCGTCGGCTGGCAGTGGTACTTTGGCAGTAGAAGAGGCGGCTCTGGCAGTGTGGTGTGTTGACGGCTAAGTAGGGGTACGGTGATGGATAGCCTTCCACGCATGCATATATAGTAGCAGTTAGAGCCGTCAACACGGGCTTTGCCCATGGGGTAAGCCCGCCCCGTCCAGCGAAAAGGGCGGGGCGGACTTGGCGGGCCGGCAGGGGCCCGCCAAATGTAAATTATAAAAATTATTAAAATAAATAGGAATAAGGGTCAAATAGGCCATTGAATTGCACACAATAATGCAATTAGGCCACTGAACCTAAAAAAACAACAATTAGGCCATTGAACTAACCAATTTCTTTCAATTAGTCTAATATACAGGTTTTACAGGTTAGTAACAGGTCACCCAAAAATTTAAAATATTTTTTAAAAATAATTAATTAAAATATATTTTAAAAATAAAAACGTTTCTTCGTCTCCGGCGGACGAAGAAAGTTTCTTCGTCTCCATGGCCGCCGGAGACGAAGAAACGTTTTTTTTTTTTTAATATATGTTAATTTATTATTTTTAAATAATAACTTTTTAAAAAATTATTTTAAAATTTTTGGGTGACCTGTTACTAACCTGTAAATTAGACTAATTGAAAGAAATTAATTAGTTTAGTGGCCTAATTGTTGTTTTTTTAAGTTCAGTGGTCTAATTGCATTAGTGTGTGCAGTTGGATGGCCTATTTGACCCTTATTCCAAATAAATAAATGCTACACTAGTAAATTTATAACATTAAATATGTTTTGTTAACTTGATTATATTACTATATAGGATTAGTATATATATATGCCTTCACTAAAGCTCAAACCTATCATCTCCCACTTAGGGGAGCAAATCGGATACCATTGGACCACAAGGTAAACTGAATAGAGTATTGGACCACAAGGTATATATAGAATTTTGGATACAATTTACAGTTCACTGTAAACGGTAAACTGTAACCAAAGTTCACTATATATATATTATTGTATATATTTATTTTAGTATATTAATACAAATTATACTTATTATCTTTTTTATACTAATTTTAATTTAAACTTAAAATTTTTAAAATTTGGCAGGCTCGCGGGCTTAAGGCGGGGCGGGGTGGGCCAGCCTCCCTTAGGCCCGTATTTTGGCGGGCTTTTTAGCCCGCCCCCGCCATATGGCGGGTTTGGGCGCGCTTTGGCGGGTCCCGCCCCGTCGGCCCGTTTCGACAGCTCTAGTAGCAGTCGCGACTGCAAGAATCTTCCTCGGTCTTGGTAGACAGGCTTCCCAAACTGCTCCGTTACGGGCTCTCCATAGATGATATAAAATTACAACTGCATAAATAATTCCATCAAAGTCTAGAACATTCAAGATTGCACTAAACCATTCATAAAAAACATTTGTCATAACATTGGGGAGTGGAAGATTGGATTTAGTCCATATGGAGTTTGCATAGTCACACAAAACCAATGCATGCATGGTGTCCTCATTCATGATTTCACACATGGCACACATCGGATTAACATCCACCCTCTTTATAAGCAAATTGTTAGTAGTATGGAGAATATCACAAATAACTCTCCATAGGAAAGTTTTCCATTTGGGTGGAATTTTTAACTTCCCCTTCAACCTATGTAATTAATCTAATTTTCTTGTTAATAGAATAACACTACTATAAGTGGGTTTATATCAATATTAGAATGCTATACTATTATCTCCACAATTTAGAGTAATTTTTTTTTTTTTGAAAATCAATTTAGAGTAATTTGATTGCACTAAATTACAAAATGTTTATTTAATTAAGTTTACCGGCCACCATTCATTAAAAATCCTGCATCCACTACTAGTAAGGGTAAATGCTCTGAATTCGTTAGTAGCCAAAAATACCAAAACCAATAAAAAAGAACTAACATTTGTCTCCAAATACTACCAATTTACCAGATTATAAACCTACTACAACATACAAAATATGAAGAATAGCTAATTGGACAGTTAAACCTGAGGACATTTAATGTAGGCAAACCTTCATCATACAAAATGTCAGAGTTGAGGTACCATTCGGTTAAATTCGAATATTGAGGAGAATTATCTAGGTCTAGAAACTCAAATAAATTAGGGAGTATAAACTCCTATCATCAAGTTTTTAAAAAACAATGGTGAGCTGTTTAGAAAATGCTAAATTAGGGGTATAGAAAGCAATGAAGCACAAATTAAAAACTTCGTTGTGCTTCATTGCTTTTTTCTCTTCAGATTTTATGAAGCCAT